ACACACACACACACACACACACACACACACACACACACACACACACAGAGTATCCTGTCCTGATGTCCTGCTCTACTCCCTCTGTTCCTTAGTTCTCTGGTCCAGCTCTATGGAAGCTGAATTGCAGAACAAGTTGTGGTATATGAATGTAATGGAATATTATTGTGCTATAAGAAATGATGAGCAGGTGGATTTCAGAAAAACCTGGAAAGACTTGTATGGACTGATGCTAAGTGAAGTGAGCAAAAAAAGAACAACATTGTACACAGTAACAGTCACATTATGTGATGACTGACTTTGATAGACAAAGCCTTTCTCAGTAATGCAAGGATCTAAGACATCTCCAAAGGCCTCATGATGGAAAATGCTATATGCTATGGGAGCTGAAAAGGCTTTTATTCCCGAAAGGTGCAGCCCAGGAAAACTTCTGCAGTTATCCCTTAATGAATGCTTTCTGAATCGAACATAATAGTCCTTTCACTTAGCTATAACTTCCTTATGCTTTCCAATTTCCTTTAGAGTAAGAATGTCAATACTGGCAAGACTCAGTTCCTCTAGAACTATATTGACTTATTAGTTATTGCACAAGGATCCTGCATTTAGAGAGCCAATAATTAAATTAATGTTTATAGGACTATGTGATTGTTAGTATCCTCTGCCCCAGACATTGCCAGAACAGAAACAGGATTACTCAGGGTTGAAGGTTATTTTGTGGTTTTGTTTCATGGATTTCCACAACTAAAGAATTCATCTCCTAGGCACCAATCTACTGGTGACCAGCCTCTATGTACTTACTCAAGCTGGTCATTAGACAGTCACAAGTCTGTCACTTGGGCCATATTCCAAGACCTCCTAGGATGGTAATACCTATCAAAGCACTGCCTTTGAGAACCCAAGGCCACCACCATGCTATAGTGAAGCATAGGAGTAGGACCTCTGAAGCAGCAAAATATAACTATAAACAAAATTTTGTATGTATATTTATAAATATACCCTCTATTAATGTCTTCATCCAATGTCTTGTCATGAATTTGGACGTGACCCTGGGGTTCTGAAGGCCATGCTTACAGGTAAAAGCTCCAGCAGGTCCTAACATGCTGAGAACATGGACCCAGCAGCAAATTGGGCTTAATGGTCCAAGGACCTAGCCACCTGGTGGCCTAAAACATTCCCTCCCCTTTTCACAAATAACCAAAGTACTTTTTTCTTTCCAATGGGGCAAATTCAGAGAAAAATACTTCAATGGAAAAATACTACCTATTTATATGATGAAATACTTCATCAGGTCCTACACCAAGATCAATAATGTCACTGATGTGAATGCTTGCCTCTACCAATAAAGGATGCGACACCTCCATTAATGGGAAGGCTACATGAACTACAAGGACCAATAAGTACTCATCATCTGATGGCCAACTTTCCGGTAATGAGAATCTCTATAGTTAGCTAGACTGGTTGTTGGATAACCAACACAGCTCAATGAAGGGACCATATTTACAATATATTAGTATCTACAAAAGCTTGAGCACCACGCCTTCAATCATTCTAGGTCACCTCTACATCAGCACTCATAATAGGGCTTGAGTAGAGGACTTAGAATTACATACTTGAAAAATGATTTTTAAAATTTCACAATCACTAAAATCTATTCTTACAATGAATAATTTCTTTCTTCGTCAAAGCTAACCCAGAATGCTAGATCCAAAAGAAAGAATGGTAAGATCAAAACATGACAGATTTAGATTAGATAGTCAGAAGAAATCATAGGGTAGTACTGAGACAAAAAGGTAAATGTGACAAAAAATAATTAAATCAATACTTTACATATACTGCATATATTCAAGTTGGCAGTAATGTGTACATTATTTGTCTTTTTTCATATACTCATTAAATGTCAGTCAGTTGACAAGCATTTATTGAGTTATTCACTGTGTGCCAGGAAACAAATAGGGTAAAAGATAGTCCCTGCCCTCAAAGAGCTCACAATCTACTGGGGGAGACAAACACGTAAGCAACTATGTACAAAGTACAAACTATTTACATGATAAACAGGAAGTAATTAAGAGAGGGAAAGCACTCAAATTAAAGGGGACTGAGAAAGGCTTCTGGCATTTTACCTGGGACTGGAAGAAATCCAGAAAGGTCAGAAAGTGGAGATGAGCGAAAGAATTCCAGGCATGGCAGAGAGCTAATGAAAATGCTTAGAGTTGGGAAACGGAATGTCTTGTGTGAGGAACAGCAAGGAAGCCAATGTCACTGGACTGCAGAGAATATTGGGGGGAGTAAGGTGAAAGAAGACTGAAAATGTAGGAGGAGGGGGCAAATCATAAAAGTTCCAATCAATAAATAGACAATTTTGTATTTGATCCTGGAGATGAATAGATGAGTAACATGATCAGACCTGCACTTTAGAAAGATTAATTTGTCTGCTGAGTGGAAGATGGACTGGTGTAGTGAGAAACCTGTGGCAGGTAGATCAACCAGCAGGCTATAGTCTGAGGTGATGAGGACCTGCCAAAGAACCATCCTTACATTTACATTAAAAGGACAAGATTTATTTTTATATGAGTATATATCAGAACTAGCTAATATCAAGACTACCCACCTAAAATTATTATTAGCTGAAAATTATTAAAGACTAAATAACACTGAGAAAAGACATTTCCAGACATCAGTCAAGCACTAGATATATTAGTTATATTAACACAAAACTGTTGCTGACCTCCCCTAAATACATGTTAGACATTGTCTAAACAAGATATATAAATACAGATATAGAATGCATATCCATCTACCTATCTATACATGTATATGCACATGCATTTGTATATATATGTATATATGTGTGTGTACATATATATGTATATATATACATATATATATTTATATTTATATAGCTTATTTTTTATATTAGCTGTTATTCACTCTTCGGCCATAACGTATTTACAGGTATCTCCCTAAACATTATTACAAAATTTAAGCCATAGAATTTTAGAGTCAAAAGGAACTCCAGAGGTCATCTAGTCCAACCATACCTGTTCCAGAATCCCTTGCCACAATATCCCTAAGAAGTGGCCAGCCTCTGCTAAAAGACCTTCAATGAAGGAGAATCCACAATCTTTCAAGGCAGCCCATTTTGCCTTAGAATGGTTTTAGTTTTTAGGAAAGTTTTCCTTATGTCTAACTGAAATCTGCTTTTCTGAAACTTCTTCCCTCCTAGGTACTCCCCTTCTGAAAGCTAATCTCATTTCCACATGATAGCTCCTTAAATACTTCAAGATGGTTTATGTGCTGTCTCACCCCCACTCCCCAAGTCTCCTCCTCTCCAGGCTAAACATCCCTAGTTCCTTCAAGTGGTCCTCATACAGCATGATCTCAAAGCCTTTTAACATTCTGACTGTGCTCTTCTGGGATACTCCAGATTATCAACATGTCAATTATACCTCCAACCAAATGCCTGAAATAGGCTGGTAGCTACATTAAGTTAAAAAGGGACAGATGCAAGAGATGTTAGCAGAAGAGTGTGAATACAGGGAAAGAAACAAACCAAAAGGTGAGAATGACTCTGTGGTTGAGAATCCAGGTGACTGGAAGGATAGTGGTCCCTCAATAGAAGCAGGGAAGTGGGGTGGGGGGTAGTGGGTAGAATAGTAAAAGAACAAGTTCTATTTGGCACTCCAAACCCTGACATGTTCACCTGGGGCCCAAAAGCCACAGCAAGGATTGTCAAATTTGCTCCAGGTAGCAAAGAAACCTATAAAAAGCACAGAATTTAAGAGTTGGAAGGGACCTTGCAGACAGTTCAACCCTTATTTAAGCAAGCATCCATTCTACACCATACCTGATAAGTGATCGTCCAGCTTTAGCATGAAGAGTTCCAGTGAGAGGGAACCCACTAACTCTGGAGTCAGCTATTCCATGCTAATTTTTAGGAAATTCTTCCATAATCAAATTTAGGAATGTCTCTTTGCAACTTCTATGGATTATTCCTAGTTCTGCCTTCAGCAATCAACCAAAAAATTCTCCTTAGGATCCCAACATATTGTCCAAAACTTTCATTTTTCTAAGCATACCAACTTATTAAAATAAACACTACTTCCTTTGAGCATTTTCATTTTAAAACCTTCATAAATGTTATGGTTCACAGCCATATAGCCTAATAAATAGACCACCTCCTGATCAATTTCTTCTCCTGCCCACTATCCTACAATCCCAAATATGAAGGAAAAAATACCTGAAAGGAATGCTCTGCCAGATGAATTCCTCGAATAAGGTTCAAAGCAGCACACATGATGTTCAGAACAAGAGACAGAATCCCCAGAGCTGTCACTGGCTTCATCCGGTAATTTGGAGCTTCATAATTTAAAATAATAATAATATTAAGTTCCTAATGAAAAGCATTTCAGGTTACATAGTGTCTACATAAAGGAAAAGCTAAATAAACCACACTTCCCCTAACTATAATTACATTACAGACATAATTTAAATTACATTGCGGACACAATTTAAATTATGTTGCAGACATAATTATAGGTGTATTAATACAAATTAAGTAATGGTTAGGAACCAAAAAACAGAAGTGGAAAATGAGGGACAGAAAGGATCTAGGCCTCATAGGGGTATTTCTTCTAGCCTTTACTGCAACACTGGACATCCCCACCTCACCCAAACAGAGGTCTTGGAGCTATTTTTCCAGGTTTCAGCTGAAAGCAACCTCTTGTGATAACAAAAAGTGCTATAACTTTATTTTTATATTGGTTGCAGAGTCATCATTTAACATTCATCACATAAAACATTCTAGTTTTCTTCTTATCCGCTGGGCATAAAAATAGTCTTGGCCTTTCTCTTCCAATTCTCCGCCCCCCATCAAGTATCTTTTTATTTTCAAAATGTTTAGGGATTTTCTGGCAAAAAGGGAAACATTCAATATATAAGTCATTCTTAGAATGATTAGAACAAATGGCCATTTTATTTTGCTCTTTTAGAAACCCTATGAATTGATTTTCCTCACGACATCCACAGATACGGTATGCTGATCACCTTCTTTTCCTTTTCTTATCATCCTTTCTTGTCCCCACATTTAGCACAAAATAACAATCAAACCCATGGCTATTGTTAGTATGTTAGAGTTCCCACTGAGCAATTCAAGGCTTCCCCCATGAGAACTGAACATGCTACCTTTTTAGGATTCTAGCCTTGAGACACAAGAGGCTGAGCCAAAGCATAGTAAAATGTCCTAGAAAGAAGGGCTAAGTTTAAACTTTCTGGAATTTGGTTGGATTTGTGTTTCAAGCAAAGCCATAGCTACTAGAGCATCCCTTTCCTAAACACATTTTTCATAGTGTGAGGACACAGCTTGAGGCCCAGATTTTTGTGTTGCTCTACAAACTCAAGTTGCTGCATTTGTGACCTCGAGTGGCAAACCAGATCAGCCGATAAAGTGACTAGCCGTGGTGACTCACCCAAGAGTTTAGAAGAAAAACAGATTTTACTTGTACTTTCAGTTAAACCTAAGATAATATAAGACTTTTTAAGGTCACATGAAAAAACCTGAGCCATAAATTTAGGCTGAAAAGAAATGAAAATAAAAGAAACACAGGTAACTGTCATGCATTTTATCAAGATGGGGAAACCAAAATTCTAGAACATCAATTTTCTTATATGAGCAGGAAATTACGAAATTACAAATAATTATGTGCTGGGCAAATGTTTCATGAGTGGCCATGGACAAATAATTCTTCACCCAGAAGCCAACCTACTGAAAAGGCCCTTGACCATCCTTAACTAGGCTAGTCATTGGACAACAAACAATCTGGCACCAGAATAATACTTGAAGCTTTCCAGTTTGAAAGAATCTTCCAGAGCTGCACCTCTACTGTACAAGGCCGCCCTCGAGAAACCACAATCACTTATCTGTGCCCCAGTGAAACATATCTCCCACGGTAAAGAGATGGTAGAGAGCTTAGGGATCCAGCCCAACCTTTCACTCTAGAGATGAAGACACGGAGGCTCAAAGAGGGGAAGTGACTTAAAGGCCTAATTAGCTCATTAGTGCCAATTGTAGGACTTGAATCCTGGTCTCCTGATTCCAAATCCCATGTTCTCTACAGTACAGGATGCTGCCTCTCTTCAATTTCATTCCTAAAATCCATTCTAGGCACCTTAACTGTTCACAGTTTCCCAGGTACCAGTGTGATCTTTACTCACACACTTTATCCACAAGAAAAGTCAAATGGCAATAGAATTGTTTTTCAATTACATTCTAGGGACAAGGCCAGTCTATAGTCATTTTACACATAAATAAAACCATTTGGGAAAAAGCAATGCACGTAAGTATTATTCCTCTGTCATCACCAAACACTACTGCAGAGGACACATTCAGTTCACTCACCATATTCAGCCTGCATCGAAGAGTGACTGTTTCTTAGCCCACTCATCACTTCTGTGTCCTCTAGTCTCAGGACCAGCGGAGGCTGGAGCAGTAGCTCTTCCTGAATCTTTTCTAAGTGGGTCTTCAGCTGAGAAGAGCTTGCATAGTTAAAATGCCATTTCACTTTCTGAATGACATTATCTGTAAAAAAAAAAAAAACAAAAAAACAATCAACCAACTTCAGCAGAGTACAGAACAGAATTTTATATGGATTTAGAACTTTTTATTGGAATTTACAAAATGAAGCTCACATTTCCAAGGAAGCTAACAACCCATATTCTGAATATACAGTCAAATTTAGATGACCATACTATTCTCATACAGTATAGCAGAATCAAAGAATTTCATTTGTCACAAGTAACCTACTTTACTGATAACTGAATGCCAGGCCTCATGGACAAAGTGCCACAGTACTATATTAGTTCCTTACATGATTTTACTAAGTATGTGAATTATACTGAACAACATATTTATCACTGGCAAAGCAATCTTGTTAGCATTCATCACTTTTTCACAAGGAGTACTGCTTACCCTCAAGAATTAGCTAAAAAACATAATGTGAAAGACAACCATCATCTTCAGCTAAGTGTGAAACTGAGGGAAGACATGCAATGTCGAGGAAGGAAGGGGACCACTCGGCCACATCAACCAAGAGGATGATATTAAGGCACATCACCTCATTTTAAGGAGGAAGGGAGTAAAGAACAGTGACTTGGTTAAGGTCTCACAGGAAGACTATACAAGAGAAATACAGAACTACTTAATATCAGCAGAATGTCCAAAACCCTACACTAGGGAGTGTCTTTTGACTTTCTTGCCACATAAAAAATGACTTCAGATAGAGCCTCTAACAATTCCACATACAGTAGATCCACAGCGAGGGCATCCCTACTGTACTCTTCCTTAATCAGACAACATCTGAATAGTATTGTGTTCAGTTATGTACCCCATATTTTGGAAAGGATATTGACAAGTTACAGTGCATCAAGGGTAGGGTATTCAATATAGCTAAGGGGGAGGGGGGGAACAAAACCATGTGATTTGGGTAACAGATGAAGATACTACAGGTGTTTAGTCTAAGGATAATTCTCCATCTCTTGCCTCCTAACCTGGATGCTCCCCAAAGTTTGTCCTGGGTCCCCTTCTCCAGTCCCACTGATAGAACCACAGCATTCTGGAGTATGTAGACTCTTCAGGCCATCTAATTCAGCCCACACCTGGACAGCCCTCCACCACAAGTGGTCTTCAAGCCTCTGCTTGAAAGCTGCCAGTTCAGAGGCACCCATTCCACTTTGGGATAGCTCAACCTGTTCCAAAGACTTCCCTCATCTCAATCCCAGATGTGCCTCTCTAAACTTCTGCCTGTATCTCCTTTTGTGGCTAAGCAAAACATGTCTAATTGCTCCCCCTTCGAGAGCCCTTCGAATACTTGAAAACAGCCCTCGCTCCCCCAAACTTCTCTTCTCCAGACTAAGCATGCCCAGTTGCTTCAGTGAGCCTCACATGGCCTCACCATCCTCTCTGCCCTCCTCTACAACTTCTCCTCTCAGCTGTACCTCTACAGTCTTTCTCAAATCCATTCCCTTTTCCCCATTCATAAAGATACTACCCTAGTTCATTATTTGTATGTCTATCCCTCTATTAGATTAGAAGCACCTTGAGATAAGGTCCTATTTCAGACCTATCTTTGTATTTAATAAATGCAGAATGGGTTTAACAAAAGATGCAGCTTGTGAAAAACACAAATATAAGGCAGTACTGATAAAAATGAATAAGGAAGTAACAAACCGAATTTGAGAAAAGCATATGGTCTGGAAGCCAAGCCTATGCTGGTGTTGTCATAGGAAGCAGTGAACTCCCACCGAAGAGCCTCCAGAAAGCAGAAGGCCATGGCCACGGGATAACTGTGGGAGCAGATCCCCATGCAGGCTATGGCTCCAGAAGAGTCAAAGCTGAAACAAGAATACCAAAGGTGAATTACATACCAAACACACAGATAAGTTCCTCCTTATCTTACTGTCTGACAGTCAGCATACAATAGTCACTTGACTCTAAATCCTACAACATGGGTATGTAGCATCTCTCATACAACAGATACATTTCTTTTGCCTTGAATCACTCTAGCGATTTTGTGTGTCTATATCATGTCTGCCCAGTTCAAAGATATATTAAGCACCTACTATGTACAAGGTCCTGTGAGCAGCACTGGGGATAAAAAGAAAAGTTATATAGTCCCTGCCTTCAAGGAGCTTGCAATCTAACAAGGAAGAATGGAACAGTCACAATTCAGTAAGACACAAACTAGAATATGGTTGGGGCAAAAGAAAGATCCAAAATATTCTAGGAAAACTGGAGGAGGGAGAGCTGGAGAATTCAGAGAAAGATTTACCGCAAACAAAAAAGGCAGCACCTGTGCAGAGTCTCAAAGAGACAAAGCAGCGCCTCCAGGTCATGGAGAAGCTGGCACCTGGGCTATAAGGTCCCCACGGGCAAAGGCCAGGGCTTTTACCTCCCCAACAAAGCACAGTGCACATAGCAGATAATTATAATATAATACACATACAATACACATAGCAGACAATAAATATTGTTTGGATGAAAGACTTAAACCCAAACAGGCTTTACTAAAACAGAGGCTTAGCTAATTTGCTGTTTCAGGCTTATTTCTTAGAACAAGTTTTTAATTACAACTGCCACATTTAAAAAATTTTAGTATTAGCCAGCTTTAATGACTATTAATCATAACTAAAAATTTTATTTGGATCTACTATCCTTGCCAAGTTTCTCCACTAAAAAAGAAAATGAATGCTCCTTCCCTTTTCACTTCAGAGCAATCCCCAACCCTTCTTGTCCTCTTAGGCCATGAGAAAGGGGGTATTCCATGTCATTTACTACACAAGGAAAACTGGAGTCAACCTCTTCCTCTTGGCCAGTAAATAGCTGCTCTGTCACTTAGCTCTTAGTTTTAAATGTTTCTGCATTGTCCTTATTTTGTTTGCATTAAAATTAACATAATACCCTAAGTACAGCTTACTTAATTAGTTGTTCTACAAGTTAAAAAAAAAAGTTCAAAAGTTAAGATAAAAATATAATGATATTATACACCAGAACAAGAATACCTCCTAAAACAAATATTTTAAAATTCAGCATTTAAGAAACCAAAGGACCTATTACTCTCCACACTAGATTATGGGATTCCTACTCCATTTAGAAGAACAAGAGAAAAGGGCCTCATTTCTAAAATATATAGAGAATTAAGTCAAATTTATAAGAATACAAGTCATTCCCCAATTGATAAATGGTCAAAGGATATGAGTAGGCAGTTTTCAGACGAAGAAATTAAAGCCATCTATAGTCATATGGAAAAATGCTCTCAATCACTATCGATTAGACAAATGCAAATCGAAACAACTCTGAGGTACCACATCACACCTATCAGATTGGCCAACATGACAAAACAGGAAAATGATAAATGTTGGAGAAGATGTGGGAAAACTGGAACACTAATGCATTGTTGGTGGAGTTGTGAAATGATCCAACCATTTTGGAGAGTAATTTGGAATTATGGCCAAAGGGCTATAAAAATGTGCATACCCTTTGACCCAGCAATACCACTTCTAGAGCTATATCCCACAGAAATCATAAAAATGGGGAAAATACCCACATGTACAAAGATTTTTATAGCAGCTCTTTTTGTGGTGGCAAAGAATTGGAAATTGAGGGGATGCCCACCAATTAGGGAATGGCTGAACAAATTGGGGTATATGAATGTAATGAAATACTATTGTGCTATAAGAAATGAGGAGCAAGCAGACTTCAGAAAAACCTGGAAAGACTTAATATGAATCGATGCTGATTGAAATGAGCAGAACCAGGAGAACATTGTACACAGTAACAGCCACGTTGTATAATGACTAATATTGATAGACTTAGCCCTTCTCAGCAATGCAAGGATCCAAGACATCTCCAAAGGTCTCATAATGGAAAATGATATTCATATCCAAAGAAAGAACTACAGAGTTTGAATGCAGATCGAAGCATACTATTTGCTATTTTTTTCTTCTGTTTTGTTTTGTTTCCTCTTTCTGGTGGTTCCTCCTATTGGTTCTAATTCTTCCTTACAACATCACTAATGTGAAAATATTTCAATAGGAATGTATATGTATAGCCTATACCAGATTGCGTGCTGTCTTGGGGAGGGAGGTGGGGAAGGAGGGGGAGAAAAATTTAAAACTCAAAAGCTTATGGAAGTAATTGTTGATAAATCAAAATTAATAAAAAAAATTTTAAAAAAGAAGAGCAAAAGAAGAACCATAGATATTAACTACAATCTCAACTAGAGGAAAGTGTTGAAAATTGTTGACATAATTTTGACCAAAGCCAAAACTTCTGTGATAGAGAAGCTCTGACTCTTGCGGCAAGCAAGGCAAGGTGGTGTGACTTTTTTGACCCATTTGTGAGATTACAACAAGGCTTTAAAAATCTTTCAGAGAAATGCACTGGGAATGGCTGAACAAGTTGTGGTATATGAATGTAATGGAATATTACTGTTCCATAAAAAATGATGAGCAGGCAGATTTCAGAAAAATCTGGAAAGGCTTGTATGGTCTGATGATATGAGCAGAAGTGAGAAGAACCAGGAGAACATTGTACATAACAGCCACATTGTGCAATGATCAACTTTGATAGACTTAGGTGTTCTCAGCAATGCAATAATCTAAGACAACTCCAAGAGACTCATGATGGAAAATGCTATCCACAGCCAGAGAATGAACTATGGAGTCTGAATGCAGATCAAAGTATGCTATTTTCTCTTTTTTTTTCTTGTGGTTTTTCCTTTTGGTTCTGATTCTTCTTTACATGAATAATGTGGAAATACGTTTAATAGATTGTACACGTATAGCCTATATCAAATTACATGCCATCTCGGGGAGGGAGGAGGAAAAATTTAGAACTCAAAATCTTATAACAGTGAATGATGAAAACTAAAAATTAATTAATTGCGGAAAAAAAAGAAATGCACTAAACTTCCACAAGATGGTGGTATTACTACATGAGAAATAACATTTTCTTTGGTCTACAAAATCAGATGTAGTACTTCCAACCTTACAAAGCAGAAAGTTAAGATAATTCTTCAGTAAAAATGAGGAGATGGGGACAGCTAGGTGGTGCAGTGGATAGAGCACCGGCCCTGGATTCAGGAGGACCTGAGTTCAAATCTGGCCTCAGACACATAACACTTACTAGCTGTGTGACCCTGGGCAAGTCACTTAATCCCAACTGCCTCACCGAAAAAAAAAAAAAAAAAGAGGAAATGGATTTAATTTTAAAAGCAGATAGTTCGTGTGTGTTATGTATATTTTTAGCTAAAATAGCTTATGTTTTTTCTTCTGTCATCCTCAACTGAAGCATGGCAACTTCCAGTATCCTCCACCACCCCAAAAACTTACATTAGTTCATTACAGATCTGGAGAAGAAAAACTAAGTTCTTCTTTCCTGATACCAAGAAGTTCACTTTACACAAAGCACAAAACTTCTCAGAAGATAAACAGTAATAACTGCAGTCAGGAAGACCGAGGTTGAAGTCCTGCCCCAGTCCACCGGGGTCAGCTGAAAGTCGCCTCACCCCTCAACACGCTAGGCAACTCTAAGATTTTAAGATGTGGAGTCTTCAAAGACCTGCCTTGGTGAAGAGAGTTTCCTCACCTCAGTGAAATCACAGGTCAAGTCACTAGCCCAAGTTTCTCTGGCTCTGCATTTAGTTGGTTTACAAGACAACGTTTCATAATATGGGGCCAGACACAGGTTCTCCAATCTGTGCTTTAATGAGTATTCTGAGACTCTGTTCCCCTAAAAGGAAGTGTCACATAACCAGAGCATACCAAACTCACTTCGAGCAGACTACACTAGGTTGACCTTGGAGTGAAAAGAACTTGTCTGAAACATTGAAGCCCAGGATTCCTACAACTATGGAACAAAAATGAGAGATTACGTAAGCCTGGCCCGAAGAGCAGCAGCGGCAGTCTCTTTCCCTTATCCATCTCTGCTCAGCAGGCACTTGGTAGGCACTTCAAGAATGACTGACTACAACCCTCCTCTCTGGGACCCCCTCCAGGCTGGGACAGCTTTATGCCCCTTGCCAGCAGGAAGCAGTTTGAGAAGCCGAGACCTTCACCCCTTACCCCAAAAGAATTTGGGTCCCATTTGTTTGAGGGGGAAATGATGAGGATGGGATCTAGACCTCAGAAAGGAAAAACCCTGGACTTTCCCACATGGCCAAATCTCTGGCATTCCCCTGAGGCTATAATCCCTATCAACTGGCCTTTCACTGTGGCTACACCCAATCTCCCCTCCAATGTCTTACATCTCTAAGGCCCCTGGCCATTGCCCACACTTAATCCTAGGTAGGCTCCATTGTCCAGGTCCCAGGAGTTCCGTTCACCCCAGCTTACTGGTCACTCCTAGGTCCCTCCCCCATCTTTCTGTATATAAGGTCCACCAGGTCTCCATTAAGATACTCTGATTCTTATAATCTAGCCACAGCTCTGATTCTTATAATCTAGTCACTGCTCGGATTCTTAAAATCCAGCCACTGGTCAGATTCTTATAATCTAGCCAATAGCTTACTAATGTTCAGACTCCTTAAGAGTCTGCCCAATATGACAGATGTTCTAATAACCCTTGTCTTTGGCTGAAAGGAAAAAAAAAATGACTGACTAATAAATGCAATGTCTGCTCTCCATCCAGGTGGGGAAAGTGGCAGAAGCTAGAATCACCACCAAGCAGAAGCAAATCAGAAGGATCCTCCAGTGAAGATGCTCTAAACAAAATGCCATGTCTATGGACGATTCTGTTAGCAAATTAAGTTATCTGATTGACTAAAGGTAACAGTAATTTGGGGAGCTTTGAAGCTTCAGTGCCAGAGCCTAAGGAGTAACAGCTAGAGGAACCTTGGTGGTATTGAAATACTATGGAAATACTGATTGATTAGCAATTAATTGTCATGACTAGATTATATGAGAGAAAAAAATCTAAAAGAAATGTAAGAGCGAAACATATTACAACAACACACGGTTGACACGGCATCCGTGAGGAATGAGGTATTGCCATTGAGAGAATTTTGTACACAACTTAAGGGTGAAAACTTACTTTTAAGCCATCTTTTATGGAACTCTAACACAGACTATCAATTATCTTGTCTTTGTAAACAAAGGATGTTGAACATGCTTTAAAATTTCCCTGATGACTCTGGGTCAACATTCTGAACATCCTTGGTTGTATAATCGTATAATAATTAGTGTTTTTCTTAAGGTTAGTGAAGGTTGCTGGGTTGTCGACCAAACAGCACTAGACTGCTATGCTTTTCTAGGTTAAGATTTTTCTCTCTCTTTACATTCTGTAAGCTGTAATTTGGGTCTACTTCAAGAAATAACCTCTTCTGTCCAACATATTACCTGTCTTAAGCTGGGGTAGAAGGGAAATTTTAGGGTTAAAGAGGGAAACATCAATAGGCAAGCTTGTTAAATCAGTAATCTGAATCTCACAAAAATACTCTAAGTCAATGGGTTTTGTTTAGTTAAAGCACAGAGCTGGTTCTACCTTTTCATGTAGATTAAGGACATAGGCTACATGGCTGCTAGTTACTTTGCTGCAAACCTTCAGTTAAGAATATATGGCAAGAACAATGGATTTGGAGTCAGAAGACCTGGTTTTAAAATCCTAGGTCTGCTCCTTACTGTGTGACCTTAGAAAAATCATTTACCCTCTCTGGCTCCTAGTGAGGAAAATTAATAATATGGCAATTCCTATAAAACTTAAAGCACTACAGAAAAAAAATGGCCTATTATTATTACTGTTCTAAGTAGTAGTAGTCAGGGCTTAGCGTTTGGAGTCAGAAAAATTAAGTCTTACCTCAGACACTTACTAGCCACGTGACCCTGGGCAAGTCACTTAAACTTTCTATGCCTCAGTTTCTAAAATGGGGATAATACCACCTATATGATAAGGTTGCTGTGAGGATCAAATGAGCTAACATGTGTAAAGTGCTTTGCAAACCTTAAAGGCTATGTAAATGCTAGCTATTATTATTCTCAAATTAGTGTTAAAATATCAGGTCAACACTTTTGGCACAAGACTTGATCAAGATGTGGTAACTTAAGATGTTTAATTAAGACAGAATATGGTTAAAAGAAAGCTAAGTTTAATGTGTCACTATCAGGCTAATGACTATTACAAAAAAAGAAAAATACTAGCTTACTGTATATTGAGGTCATGTCCTTCTGCAGTCCCCCGACCTGGAAACTGTGTCAAAATTAAGGACAACGTTTTTAGCCGCTTTCTGCATTCCATAAAGTCCTGGTTATGGTGAAAATCTGTGGAGGCAGAGAGGGGCAATCCATCTCTCACCCGTACCACACAGGCAAAAAGGATCATGGACATGGTCCAAAAAGGAATTCATGAGGATTCCCTGAAAAAAAAATGACATCTTGTTAAAGAGTATGATCTTCAACGGCCCAGAGAGGCTCCCAGCTGCATGTCTGGCCCTTTGGGGTATTTCTCCTTTTCTTTCATTTCCTGGTGGTCTGAAATTCCTGGCTCCAACCATGAAAACAGATGAACCTTTCTTCTTATCCCCCATGTCTCCATTCTCATGTCCCCTTCAGTTCTCTTCCCTTCATATCCCTCTGTGCCAAATTATGGGGACGCTAACAGAAAACACAAGAGAGTCTCTGCTCTCTCAAGGAGCTTACATCTTGATTTGGGGAGTCACACATAAAAGACTTCAGACTGTTCTCCCTACCATCTCCACTTTGCTGTCAAAATTATCTTCCTAAAGCACAAGTCTGACCATGTCACCCACCACCCTATTCAGTAAACTGTTTTGACTGGGTCTGCTACAATTTCTGTTATACAACCTTAACTGGGCCCTCACTGCTGCTAGGCAAGCCTACTACATACCTCCCTTATCAGCTCCCTAGCCCACTCCCCACAGCAGCTCTTTCAAACCTTTTCATCCCTTCTCAAACCTCCCATGGCTCCCCTCCCCCCCACTCAATCTCACCTCAGATTTTACAGGAAAAATTGAGGCCATTCACTGTTAATTCCCTATTTTTCCCTCTTCCTCATCTCCTATTACTCTGGTCCCTTCTGCCACCATCTCCTCCTTCACCCTTGTCTTTCATGATGAAGTGGCCTTCCTCCTTACTTACCAAGGCTAATCCCTTAACCATCCCATCTCCTCCAACAGATTGCCCCCTGTTATCTCCATTCTTTCACTTATTTTCAATCTCTCCCTCTTTACTGGCTAATTTCCTACTACCTACAAACATACCCATGTGTCCTCATCCTGAAAAAAATCCTCAATTATCCCTGATAATTATTGTCCTGTATCTCTTCTACTTATTGTAGCTAAACTCTGAAAAAAGGCCATCTACAATAATACTTTAACTTTCTCTCCTCTTGCTCTCTTCTTAACCCCTTTTCTTTTCCCTATGGCTAAAAAATTTCTAGAAATTCTGTATCTCTACTGGTGAGTGAGAAACCAACTTCAATAGGTTGATACTTGCACTCTCTTAATCTTTTTCTTTCAAGAAACATTGATACCTGTGTGTGTGGAAAACATAAATTTTATGAAGCAAAAAAAAGTAATGTTTAGTGAAATTATTTCCAAGTAAGCATCAATCTAAATATAGAAGAGAAAGCCCCTAACCTAGGAGTATCTCCTAAATGTGAAAGACTACCCTGGCTTGGGATTTCACTCCCTTTCCCTTCTGCCACCAAAGACCTCCTTTCTTTCCCACAAAGGGGTAAGGCATGGCTAGACATCAGTTCGTGTGAAAAAGATATGGGGATTTTAGCGGACTCCAAAATCATTATAAGTCAACAATGCAACATGGTAAAGACTAATGATTTGATTGTGGCTGTAGTAAAAGGCAAAACATCCAAAAGAAGGGAGAGAATAGTCTTACTGTGTTCTATCCCAGTAGTGTCAAACTCAAATAGAAATGGGGACCATTAAATCGTATACACAAGGATCCCTGAAGATTTCATGTTGAATTAGTTTTAAATTTTAATGTCTATGGTTTACTATATTTTTATTTTGCTTATTTGTTTTATTTTTAACCCTATTTCATTTTAATCTGGTTTAGACTACACTCGGGAGGCCCCAGGCAACACGCCTTACACCTCTGTTCTGGAGTATATTCAGTTCTGGGTGCTGAATTTTAGGAAGGACACTTAAAGCCCAAGAGCATTCAGAGGAGGATGGGAAGGATGGGGAAGGGCCTTGGGACTGAATCATGCAAACATCAGTATAAGAAACTCTTAAGTAAAAACCTGGAGAAGAAAAGGCTAAAGGAAAACACAATTTCTGGCTTTCAAATATACCAGAAAATAATGATTAGATTTGTTCCACTTGACCCCAGAGGCAGAACTATGAATCATGGGGAGAAGCTGCCTGCTTATTAAATAGCTGACGAGTCTACTTTTTTTCCACTTACATATATAACATCAATGATTTCTTTCAACTCAAATTGTTATTAATACAAGATACCTTAGTCTTTTAAAAAAATGTTATAGGAGAAAACAGCTGTGTAGATGAGGGATAAATTCAGAAATGACATTGACATAAAAACAAAAGACAGCAATAAAATCTTTAGAGATGCTATGACTCTTCTGCTGTCCTTAAAGTTGCTTGTAATTTTAATTGTTTGGCAATGGCAACTGATGAAATTTGTATCTGATATATAAACTTTAAATATAGATTAGCCTTTTCAGTTATTGAAAGTAAAATAAAACTTGAAGACTCACTTCCTCAACTTCCATAGGAAAGCTGGTTCCTTTGTCTCTTCAGGGATCTCCAATTCTTAAGGGTTGGAGCTGATTTCTAACATGAGCTCTCGAGCCCTCACCAATGTACTCTCCACTGATCATCAGTTAGCCAGTGTTAATTAGCTTTTAACAACAGGTATTTACTAAGGTAGCAAGGAGAGGCAGAACAAAATATCACTCCAATAGCCTGGGATATATTCTCCCTTTCGTGTATATACACAAAGTCCCTGGGAATAGTGGGCTCAAACTTAGAGTGCTCATATGGACCAAGGTAAACTCATAGCTTCTTAGAAATCCTTTTTTCCCTTTATGAAGTTCTCCTTTAGTATGTGTAACTCTCTGCTGGACCCTGGTAAGGGGTGGGTGAAGGGTATGGTTGACCTTGTAGAAAGAGCCTTTAGCTTGCCTTTCCTTCATGTTTCTAATCTGTTTTTAGCTTGCAATGCTGTTATAGACGGATGGGAAGCCCAAATCATCCAACCTACATTCAAATGGTCATCCTCTAGTGGAGGGAGGTAGGGGGAGGGAAGGTGAAGAGAGAAGAGACAGACTCCTCCTTTGGGACTTGTTAGGAGCTATTCCACCATTAGGCTGGATTCTGAACTGGCTTGCTGTTTTATCCAAGCCCCACAGGGTATATGACTTATTCTCTTCAAGCACCCACAAGACATTTCCTGTGCAGCATCATCTTTTCAGTATGTACCTAGTTTATACCTTTGATTCAATAGTCTCTAGGAACTGTTCACAGCTAATTGATATAACTCAGAGAGGCATTTACACCAGATAAAGGTAGCAGGGCATAAATCTCTACATTAATTGGGACTGAAGATGCAAGACACTCTTCTTACAATAGCTTAGTTGGTTAACCAATTAATGCTGCAAAGCACTAAATTTAGTGGAGATCTAAAACAAACTTGGATCACTCCACTTAAAATATAATTTCATATGAAGTTCAAAAATATATATAGACACTTATTTAATAAAAAATATTACCAAAGGCATCAATAGAAATAAGAAAACTTTTTAAAAATTAAAATATTACTAGATGTATAAGCAAACTTCATTCCATTAAAAGAAAAAAAAAGGACCTATTTTACACAGTTTGGTTTGGGCCAAAAGAAGTTTTTCATAGTATCAACACAGGTCATAGAATCAGCATCTTGGAATAGCAAGAGACTTCAGTAATCATTTTCAAGCCTATCCTCAAACAGGAATTCCCCTTACAACCTCCCCAACAAGTGGTCAGTCAACTTAAAGACCTCTAATGTTGGGGAACTCATTACCTTTAGAGGTAGTCCCTTCCACTTTTTCACAGCTCTAATTGTTAGGAAGTTTGTCTGAGCAAACTGAAGTCTGCTTTCCTGTAATTTCTATCTATAGTCCCTCTCAACTCTAACATTCTGTAGTTTTCTGATTCTACTCAGTAGATGGCTAGCCATTTTGCTCTCTATTTTTCCCCTTAATCGTATCCCCTTTACTGCTAATTTTTAGTACCTCTATCAGGGGACAGGCAAGAAAAAGCAGTCACTTTTACTATGTTTCAGGCACTGAGAGTTAATTTAAGACAAATGAACCAAGAACTGAGATATGTGATTACTGCTGTAACACATTCTATTTATCGGTATTAACCCCAATCCTCCACAAAAGCCCTTGACCACAAGTCTTCAGAACTTCAGTAAGTTCAGAGCAGCTCATTTGCAGGTTGATGAATTTTAGGGGCCACAGCAACTTTTAAAGACCATTCTAACAAAATCAAAGATTCTCATAACCCCATTCACCTTGATAATAAAAGCTGACTATACAGATTTACATAACATCTACATTACTTAAAAAAAAAACTCTTGAGGCATGTCAATTTTTTACAAATCAAATCTTGTATTAAACATACTAATAGAGTTTACTATTTAAGAATCTTATTATAAATCATTTGATAATGTAGAAAATACTCTTGTAAAGTAAATAATCAACTCCATAATTTAAAATTAAGTAGACTGGAAATCTGTCCTCTTTAGCCCTAAGATTCTAAATATACCTATTTTTAAGTTTAAATTTTCATATATATACTGGATTTTTCTGAAAACAGAATGGGGCACTTTGTATGAATGCTATTGATGCAAATATATCATACATAGTATTTTTAATTCAATAAACTTATATTAAGCACCTACTATGTGCCATGCACTGTGCTAAGCGCTAGGGATAGGAACAAGAAAAAGTGACAGTTCTTGACCTCAAAGAGCTTACAATCTAATGGTGAAAGATAACCCACACAAGTGTGTATGTGTGTAGATATATACATACACCTTCATACATACACAGATTACATGTAGATAGAGATAGGTACATAGATCAATCGATGTTGGCTGTGCTAGGTTAGAGCCCTCAAAGGGGCTCAGAAGTGGTGGAAAAAATGGTAAACGGCAAAGACTGGTCCAAGAGAAGGGCTGAAAAGTGGCTCCTAAAGTCGACCTCATTTCTTCCCATTATTCTTCTTCAACCTCCCCAAGCAGGTCAGAAGGGGGCAAGAAGGCCACGAGAAGAGCTAACAAGAGACATGCCTCGAGGGGAGTAGAGGAGTTGGCACACTGAGGGCTGATCCTAGGCTAAATCTCTAACCAGGAAAATCCCTTCCCTAGGTGAACCTGCTCTAGCTCTCCAGGTAAGCTTGTAGGCAGGTGGTGCCACAGTGCACAGAGCGCTGGGCCTGGAGACAGGAAGACTATCTTCCTGAGCTCCCATCCAGCCTCTGACACTTACTAGCTGATGTGACCCAAGGCAAGTCACTTAACCTTCTTTGCCTCAGTTTCCGCATCTGTAAAATGAGCTGGAGAAAGAAATGGCAAACCAATCCACTATCTTTGCCAAGAAAACCCCAAATGGGGCCAGGAAGAGGAGGGCACGACTGCACCGCAAGCTTGTAGGCGCTTACTACAGGTCGAAAAGAACTTAACAAACTCCAATCCGGATGCCCCTTAGAATACACCTCCCTGCAGGGCTCGAACGCACTCTGCCACCTCTCAGAATCCTGCCTTCCTCCCAAGCTCAGCCCCCCGTGGCTGATGCTCTCTTTCCCTAGATAACTGTGTCCTATCTCTCCTTGGATCCTGTCACTCCCTACTCTGTAACACACTACCTGGGCACACGTCATCCCTCCTTCCTCGCGTTCTTTATGAGAAAGGACAGAGGAGCGGTCACAGTCACGGAGGGTTAAGTCCAGTCTCTTCTCGCCCCACCCTCTGCACTCCATACAGAGGTGCCTTTTCCCCAACACCTTCCTCTGCCCTCCGCCCATGCGCAGACGCACCCTGCGCCCGGGCCTCCCGGGGCCGGCCTAGGTGGGTCCCCTCCTCCCAAGCTCCGCCTCATCAACACCCGACCGCACGCGGAGGCCTCGCCCTCCCGCAACCGTCTCCTTCTGCGCAGGCGCCCAGCTCCCGCCAGCCCCTCCCTGCCCAGCGGAGGAGCCCGGCTAACGGACACTCGGAACCCGGGGCTCCATGCTTCCCACGTCCCCGCGTCTTACTTCGCCTCTGAGCTCCCGCCGCAGCTGCTTCAGTGTCACCGAGATCCCCAGTCGATCCGTCACTCTGAGGTCCTGGCTTTCTTGCCCTCCCCTACTCCTGCCTATAGCTCGGCGGCTGGTCCCGCCTGGGCCCACAGGGGAGGGGAGAAGAGGAAAAATGAGGGGGCGGGGCTTGGCTTGGCCGCCTACACCTCGCGGGCCGGTAGCTCCTGTGCGCATGTGTAATCTGGCGAAGCTGCTAGCCCCCCGCCCCCTACCTACAAACACGCAGACCCGGGCGACGGCTCGTGCAGAGGGCGGGGATTACCCCGGCCTTTAGGGGCTTAGCCCCGCCTCCGGGGCGGGGCAGAAGGCGAAGCTGGCAGGAAGCGAGGGGTTCTTAAAGAGGTAATACTGGCAGACGGGGTTGGGCATCGCCAGAAATTCCTCTGCGAAGCAAAGGCTGTCAGTCAGTCAGTAAGCAGTTATTAAGCGCATATTTATGTGCCAGTCTGCCATTCAAGAGCTAAGTGAACCGGGACAAGTCTCTTTACCTCCTTGGGCCTCAGTCTCCCAAATTGTAGAATACGGGGCTGGAGTAGATGATTTCCAAGGAAACTTACAAAAATCTCTGACAATAAAACTCTCATTTTCCAGGCTCCTTCCTCTGCCTACCAGATAGAAAGTGTGGCTTGAAGACCAGACAAAGTCTGGCTCACAGGTCCCTCCTGGTAGTCCAGCCTTCTACAGCAGCAGTCCCCAAAAAGGTGGGGAGCAGCTGGGCTCAGCGCCTGTCATGGCAACCCTTGCAATAGGCTGTAACCCCCAGAGGACCTGAGAGGCTTTGGCAGAAGGCTGGCTGCTTCCAGTGGAAATGCTTTGTTACCCAGACACCAACACACTGACTCCTAGTTGCACACCACCCACCCATAAACCTTTCCTGTTTAAAGTAGGTTTTAAATCTGAAGAAGACTTTCCCCTTGGGAAAAGCCCATAAGATTTGTAGGCTTATAGAATGTCTGAGGTAGGGGACCCTTAGGACATAGAACATAGAATGTTAGAGATGGGAAATGCCTCTGAGAGCCAAATCTGTGTCAATAGGACGCAGACTGTCAGATGGGACTATAGAAAGAGCTACAAGGGAGAGAGGACTTAGAATGTAAAACACAGAACGGGAAGAACCATAGAGGATAGAATGTTGGAGCTCAGAGGACCTAGAACATAGATGGTAAGAGCCAGAAGGACCCTTAAGATAAAGAATATCAGGGGCAGCTAGGTGGTGCAGTGGATAGAGTTCTGGCCTTGGAGTCAGGAGAACCTGAGTTCAAATCAGGCCTCAGAGATTTAACACTTACTAGCTGGGTGACCCTGGGCAAGTCACTTAACCCCGATCGCCTCAAGAAAAAGCAAAAAAAAAAAAAAAGATAAATAACGTCAGGGAAATATAATGTCAAAGTTAGGAGGTAATTAAGAACCTAGAACACAAAATGTTATTTGGGAAGAATGTTAGAACACAGAATGTCAAAGATGGAAGGGACTTAGAACATATTTCTCACTCAAACCAAAATGTACTATAGAGTTGACTCGGAGTCAGGAAGACCTAGATTCAAACCCTGCCTCAGACAACAACTCTGTGAACTTGGCAAGTCATTTAACATTTCTCTCAGCCTCAGTTTCCTCATCTGTAAAATTAAGGATTTGAACTTGATGACCTCCAAGGTCCCCATCCAACCTTCAAACTTTGCTCCTATGATCTTCCTCCTAAACACACCCTTCCACATGGACTACATGTGAGTCAAAAGTTTGATATGGCAGTCAAGAAACCTAACGCAATCTTCCGCTGTACTGAGACACATAGTCTCCAGGACTAGATAAGTGGCAATTTTGCTCTACTTTGCCCAGGTCAAACTATGTCTGCAGTATTGTATCCAGTTCTGGGTTCTGTATTTTAGGAGAAACATCAAGTTGGACCGTCCAGATGTGGACGGATGGGACGGTACAGGGCCTCAAGGTTAAGCCATGTCAAAATCACTTAAATGCACAAGGGGATTCAGCCGGAAGAAGCAAAGCCTCAGAGGAGGGTGGGATGCTGTTTTCAAGCACTTGAAAGACTGTACCGTGGAAGAGGGATTAGACTTGTTCTGTTTGGACCAAGAACTAGAAAAAAATGGGTAGAAATGGTAAAGAGACATATTTTATGTGACTATGATATAAGGATATAGGAAAAATATGTAGGAAGAAAAACATATCTTGATATAAAAAAAAAATCTTCCTAACAATTGGAGCTATCCAAAAGTGAAATGGCCTCCTTCTAAAGGTGGTGGGTTCATCATTTAGAAAAGATGCCAAAATCAAATCCTATGGCACTGAGTCCAAGTTTTCTCACCTGTAAAATGATGATGATAAACCTTGCACAGCTTACTTCAGAAAATCATAGGATTTAGAGCCGGAGGGGACCTTAGTGAACATTTAGTCACAGAATCTTAAAAGTCAAAAGGGACCTCAAAGGGCATCTGGTCAAACCTACATTCCGGAAAAATGGTCATCTAGCCCCTGCTTGAGGACCTCCAGAGAAGGCAACCCTTTTCAGTTTTGTATAGCCCAGACTTTCCCTGAGACAAAATTTCCCTCCCTCTCTCCATTTTTTCCTAGTTCTGGCCCCTGGGACAAAGCAGAACAAATCTAATCATCTTTCATATGAAAGCCTTGCAAACACTTGAAGACAACTATCAGGTGTCCCCTAAGTTCCTCTTCTCCCAACCATTTCTGGTTCTTTCTACATGATTATATGTTACAATCTCTAGTTCCCGAACCATGTTGACAATGTCCTTCTCACTATGTGGTTCCCAAAACTAAATACAAGACTTCAGATCTCGTCTGCCCAAGGCAAAGGATAGCAGAATCATCACCACCCTCTTCATTCTAGACACAATGCCCTTATTAATTCCATCTAAGATCACATTAGCTTTTTTGACTGATATCACAGTTTTCAGTGTACTGTACTAGAAAGAGTACTAGACTGAAGTCAGGAGAGTCCTGGATTGAAATCTCAGCTCTGATACCAGCTGTGTTCATGAATAAGTCACTTAATTTCTCTGAATATCAGATTCCTCATCTATAAGGTGGCAAAATGTACACACCTGTAATGTCTACTTTACCAGGTTCTTATAAGCATCAAATGAGATCATATATACAATGCTTGGTTTCCACTAAAATTCCCAGAGCTCTTTTCACACGAATTGGTCTAGCCAAGCATCCCCCATTCTGTACTTTTACAGTTGATTTTTTTTTTAATCTAAGCATAGGACTTCACAATTGTCCTACTAAATTTCACCTTTCAGATTTGGCCCATTATTCTAGCCTATCAAGATCCTTTTGATTACTTATTCTATTATCCAAAGATTTAATTATCCCTCCCAGCTTTGAGGCATTTGCAAATTTTATAATCACACCTTCTATGCCTTAATCCAAATACTTTTCTAAAATGTTGAACATCTAAAATGTTGAAAATTTTGAAAGGGATAGGTCCCTGGACCAATTCATTAAAGACCTGCCGAACGGTCGAACATGAATCTATTAATAACTACCCTTTGGTCCCTTCATTTAATTCTCTCATTTTACAGTTGAAGAATCTGACTTGTAAAAGGTCACATAAGTAGTAAGTAGAATGAGGATTTGAATACAGGTCTTTTGATACTAAAGTCAGTGCTCTTTCCATTATGCTACACCTACCTTATGGAGTGGTTGTGAAGAAAGTGCTTTGACCTTAAAGCACTTTGTAAGCCTTCAATTGGTGTAGGTATGTACCAATTCAGACAATCAGAGAGATTAAGGTGCTCCAAACAAGACTATTGCCCTCACAGAGTCAAAACCCTAAGACCATGCTCTGTGGCCTGGTGATACCCATTTGTTAGGTTGAGAAAAGAAGTATATATCCAGTTTCTTGTCCATACAATGGAGAGTTAGCTGTACTTTGGCACTTTCCCCTGAGTTGGCAGGTGGATGACAAAGCCTCAGGGCTCCTGGAAAACATTGGCTCAGTGCCGCAGGAGTGACGTTGCTGATCTTAAAAGCGTACACGTTGCACAGACTAACAGGTACTAAAGTTTGGCACCTCCAGCTCTGGAGTTTAACATCCCCAAGGGATAACAGTTCTTCCCTATTTTCCCTTCCTTCTATGCAGAGAAATGGACTAACTTTCAAATAATAACTGGTTTTGGTTTACTTCCAACTTCTAGGCACTTTCTACTCAAGTTCCCCCAACTCAATCCAAAGTCTTTCTCACAGCCACCTGGCCCAAGGAAGTTTTCAGTGGATTGAAATTGAAAACAAAACAAAACACAGCCTCTTAACTGGTTTCCCTGCCAAGTGCTATATAGAAGTTGAGTAAGATGAGGGCTTGTAGACCAGGAGATTTGGTGATAAAGGAGATATGTAGATGCTTGGGAACAGGGTAATAAAATTACTAAATGGTGAATAAGTAGGAATGGTGAAGTTGGTGAATTAAAGTAAGGTTAAAAGGAGTAATCTTTCTTCCCTTCCTCCCCGTCCCCATCCACCACCACTTCAGCAAAAGTATCTTTAGGAGCAGAGACTATAATAAACCATAATAGTACAGTGGAAAGAATATTGGAACCTAAATTAATTCAGAGATTAAGTATTACTTAAACCAAACTACAAATAGACTTTTTATGGAATTAGAAAAAAATCACAAAATACATTTGGAGGAACAAAAGATCGGGGGGGGGGTACGGGAAATATATATATATATATATATACATATATATGTATGTGTATATATATATATATTTTTTTTTAAGTAAGAAGGAAAGAACCTTACAAATACTAGATTATTATGAAGCAGGAATCTTCAAAAAATATTTGGTGCTGGGTTAAAGAAAAGAGAAAAATAGAATAATAAAATAAACTAGATAAGAAAGACCCAGAAGCAACTAAACATAGCAATATAGTGTTCAATATACCCATGAACACAAACGACTAGACGAGAAACTCTGTGATAAGAAATATCTAGAAAACTGAAAAGCAGTTTGACAGAAAATAAGTTTAGACCAGCATATTATTACATTTAAGTTCCAAATAGACACATGACTTATATATGGATGATTACATCATTCAAAAATGAAGAGAATGAAAGTACCTTTCAGATATATGGCTGGGGAGAGTTATTATCCTATCCCAGGGGTGGGGAACCTGAGGGAGGTCACATGTGGCCTCGAAGCTGCAGGTTCTCCACCCCTGAGTCATAGACTAAGCAAACAAGGGATAAAGGAGATTATAAATGATAAATA